CACTTGGCCAATCCATCTCGTTGGGGGTCTTCCTCTTTTTCTCTGACTCTCCACCTTACCAAACGTAATATTCTTCTCCAATGACTGGTCCCTCCTGACAATATGTAAATTCCATAGTACCCAGTAAAAGGGGAACTGGGGGAGGAGCATTTTCAAGACAGGGGAATTAAAACTCTTTGCAAGAGGGCCATGCCTCACATCTGCCCATGTCTACTGCGTTGGGCGCCCAATTTTGCAAAACTGAATAAAGAAAACCCCACTCTCGCCCAAAAAACAAAACAACCAAACTGCTGCAGATGATTGCTAGGAATCAATGACTTCTATATGTTTCTCATTCTTTCCTTTTCCAAATGGAAGTTTCTAACTTCCCTGTGGTGATTCTATTTTGATTTCACCATTGTTTATTGGGTTGGCCTAGAGACCAGAGGGAATCGATGATTTCTCTTTCAGTGTATGGCCAGTGTACCACAGGAGGCATACCTGGGCCTGATGGAGAGGGTTGGGACTTAGAGCTGGATGGATGCATGACTAAATGTGACTCTGTAGTCCCCTCTGTTGGAAAGAATCTGTTCCTTATGCTTGGGAAGAATAGTACACTCAGATATTTAGGTACCCAGAAAAACAAACGGGAAATCTCTAGCTTCTCCCTCAATTTCCTGTAACTTCTTCTGGAGTAACAAAGTTTTAGTTGAACATATAGCTCCATAGCCAAAGGTCATATTTCCTGCTAGGTTAGCAGTCTATATTCTGAACAATAAAATGTAAACAGAAATAATATGTCCTATCTGGACCTTGCCTTTAAAGATATTGGGCAAGCACTGGTAAGTAATAAGAACTGAAGCAGTTGCCTTGGTTAGTCTTGGAAGCAACCCCACTAGCAACAAACCACTGATCTTTAGACCATGTGTTAAGCCACTACATTTTAGGGATGCTTTCTTATGGTAGCTCAGACTACACATTAACAAACACAAGGTGTTTTTCTTAGAAATAACAAGGGTTTCTTGTGAGACAAGAAGTAAACAAAGATGAGTTAAGTAACACATTTTTATGTCAGGATGAAGAAAATTGAGGTCCTTTTTCTTTTTCTTATCTAATTACTAAAATTTCCTAGGTATGGTTTCTCTAATCCATTTTCCAAGCAGCCATCAAAACCTTGTCAGACTCACTGCCTTTCTACTGCCTTCTGGAGAAAAGCCAGCGTCTTGTGACTTCTTTCTATACATCTCTCTAGCTTCCCCTTTCAGTAACCTGGGAGCCAGCCATGGTGAACAACTGCATTTCCTTAAACGCCTCCATGTCTCTCGACCTGCTGTTCCTTCTATCTGGAAATCAATCCTAGCAACCACTACCTCCTCTCACCTTTCACTATCATTCTCTCTGCATTTGACTCTCTTCCACACTGCACGATAACCTCTATTGTTTCCTCAGCACCAGACAAGGTGATAATGGTAATAACAGTAAGTGCTTAACTAATAGTTAGGAATGACCAACTTTTGCACAGTCTAGAGCACTGTAGCAACATTTCTATTGATTTCAGTAAAATAAAGTATCATTTCAGTGACAGAAGAAAAGAATTACAAATGTAATTTATAATGAACATAAACAGACATTTTCTAAGCTGGTCCAAGTTACTGTTCTGTGACCTTATTCAAATGATCTACCAAGTTTTCTTTCACCCTCACCCTCACCCACATTAAGAGTGGAACTCACTTGCCATGTGAATACGTTAGTTTGTTATTTTCAGAAGGTATCTTAGCCAGAATCTGCTCTGTCACCTCCAAAAAGTTTCCTCCACACCAAGCATGTTTGGCAAGGATAGTGGTTCCCCTGGCAACAACAGCAAATAGAATGGCCATGGCTTCAACCTAACAAAAGGGGAAAAAAAAGACACATAAGATTTAGAATATTTATCTGACATAATCTTTTGAAAGTAACTTGCTATCGTTTATTTACATTACCAGTAGATAGTACTGAACAAGATGCTATATAACAAAGTAGTTAACACATTAAACTTAATATGCTTACAACAAAAGCTTATAAGTTAGGTCAATCTTCAATAAGCTTGCCAACTTAAGTCTGTTGTTACTTTCTGCCAACTCCTGTTCAGGGCAACCCTACACGTATAGAGCACAATACTCCCTAAGGTTTTATGGCTATCATCTTTCAGAAGCACATCGCCAGGCCTTCCAAGGTGTCAATCGTTTGGTTAATAGTCCAGTCCAGCACCTAACCATCTGTACCACCCAGAGACACCTGCATATGTACTGCTGTTGCTGCGAAGCACCGCTGAGTTGGTTCAGACTCATAGTGACCCTGTATAGGGATTCTGAGGAGGGCTTCTATCATGGAGGGCGGCGGTTAAACGATGTGCGACAACTGCGCAGACCTGGTGGAGGTGTTAAATGAAACCCAGACCACGGAGCAGCGGGGTGAGAGGTGTCTGGAGACCAGGTCGAAGGACAGACGTTACCTAGCGGGAAGAGACTGCAGGGGCCGGCCAGGCTGTCCTACTTACCCTGGACGCGAGAGCACCTTCCTAGCCTAACCGTTGGATCTTGGCTTATAGGCAGGGTCAACCAACTTAGAGACCCACAAGCCCAGCCCATAGCGTCTCACTACAACCCAGTCGCCCCTGCTGCACTTCTGCCTCTTGATTGACATCCAAGTACAGAAATCCCGCCTTTGAGCCAGACTTAAGGGCCCTAGCACAAGGAGATTCCTATTTAACAGCAACCACGCAACCGCCACTCGTCTGTCTGTCGTGCTGTGGTGGTTTGAATTGCTGTGATTCT